TTAGTACGTAAATAACTAATAGTACTTACGTTAGTAGTAGTAAGTAAGAAGGAAGGTAGGTTAGGTTGTAGTTCGTAGTTGTCGTACGGTTGGTTACGTTGTTTGTTGTCGTCGTCTACTCTCTCTCTCTCTCTCTCTCTCTCTCTCTCTCTCTCTCTCTCTCTCTCTCCCTGCACTCGCGGGCGAGCTTGTGTGCGTATGTCTGCCACTAGCACACTGGCGAATGTTTCTGTGCGAAAGCAAGAATCCAAACTTGGAATAAAGTGTTTAGTGTTATTCTTATCTCCTTTGTCGGTCCTTAAGCGCATCTTGGACTCTGTTGCTTATTTACTTGCGGATGGCACTGGCGTGGCTAAAACATAATCAATAGGGTGTTAATTGTGTCTTCGCTTAGTTTCTATCCCTACATGTTTGAGTTGGACATGATGGTTGACAATATAACTTTGTTCACTTAATGAATGTCAATGTCTCTAAACTGATAATTCCTGTACAGATGCTTCATCACCACGCATGTGATCCTTACTGTTTTTGCAAGAGACCATATTAAATAATTTAGAAATGGTATTCGTATGATCTAAATTGTATCTACATGCACTCATGTGAGTATTTTTATTTATATTTCTTTATTGTGTTTGAAGCATGTATTTATGTATACATGTATGTGTATGTATCATTTATGCACATGAATGTGGGTTTTGCGATGATTATTTAGTAGAATTCTTCAATGGAAAACCAACGGTAGGTACATTATCCAACATTATATCCCAAGTTCGATTCCTTCCGATGTCCATCATTGAAATTGTATAATATCTATTACTTAATGCAATGCTTGCTATCCCTTAATTTGTAATTCAATACTTTGCTAAATCTCTTTTGGGTATTTACTTATCTCATAGAAGAAAGGAAGCAACACATTTGTCCCAGTGTAGTGGTTGGCTGATAATAGAAATGTGCCTTGCAAGTCTAACTAGATGATTTGAGTTTCTTTCACTGACTTTATTAGTTACAGTGTCGAGGTTGCAACACTATGTCCTATATTTGGAGCCATGCTGACCCACCCTAGAGTAGGGGAAAAAAAAGAGTGTATATGACTGGCTATGAATCTTTCAATTGGATATAGACATTCAATCCCTTTAGACAGTCACTTGGCATGGCCCTCTCAAACCATATGTCGATTTGAGGAGTGCAATTTGACTGGTTTATAATTTATTCTCTTGACAAGTGCACTAATATGTAAAAATTGAGTAGCACTTCATTTGGATGGAGCAGTCTATGGGAGTTAAGGGTTTTCCCTGAAGTTTCTTTTGATTGACATTCCACATATTTCTCGGCCAAAGTGGTTGCGAGCAATCACAAGTTGTTTCTATCGCAAATTGTTGGTAAGTTACCTCTCTGCTCCCTTTTTAAACTATTACGAGTAAGAGTTCTTTCAAATACAGTTTTCATTTACTCTATTCTTTTTGATATAGATGCAGTAATGTAGTTTATTTCCATTTGGATCACTTATATACACTGGGCCGACGTTATCTAAATTCTTCCATTTTGGTGCTGTAATTATGTTGAACACGAGTCACTACAGGTGTAGACATGGTTTATCTAGTCATTTGTAGAGGTTGCTGTCTTAAGAGTGGGATATATTCACAGTGGCCTATGTTGAACAAGGTATATAGGATTTGAGATTTTGTCATCTCAAGAAAAAACAAGCAATCATGTACAAATCATAGAATACTTTAGATAACATTTGCCTTCTGAGGTGCTGGTGGAGGTGTTTATTGATTGATGGCGTCATTAAAGTTGAAACCAATGTTAGAAAAAAAAAGAAAGAAAGATGATAATGCTGGTCGATGCAATAGAAACGATTAGTTTGCCTGTAATTGTGTTGTAGATGCTTGTTATTACTGATTGCTGATTACATATTTGGGAGCAAACTTCTTGGAGTTCTCTCGCATGGTTGCTGGGAATGGGATTGGCAGCGGGATCTGGAGAGGGGAATCGCTGCTTACTAGAAGTTCCCTAGTTGGGGAGACTTTGGTTGTACCCATACAAGAAATATTATAAAAGATAAATATGTTTTGTAAAAGATGAACTTAAAATAATAATTGAAGGAGCCTGATGCTTCGGTTCTCTTTCAGATTTGGTTAACAATGAAAAAGTTCCCCTTCTTTGAAACCCAAATTATACCTTATGATGCATCATTTATGTTGATAATGGAGCTCACCAAAGTAGAGAGGGGGCACTTCCTAAACACTAGCAGGAGTTCCCAAGAAGATGGGGAACACGTTCTCAAGAGAATGGGAATTTGTTCGGAACATGTTCTCTCTCCCTAATCGTGGAACCAAGTTGGATGGAAGATCCTAGTGAGTAGTTTGTCTCGAGTGACTTGCTCATGTGTTGATGAGTACACTTTGTTTTTTACTAAGAATGGCTAACTGTAATTGGGAATTTTACTTAATTTGTTAATTGCTTAATGTAAGGAATATTGGCCACTAGGGAGTTGAAGCACATTTCACTCTCTCACTATGGAGTTTTCAGGCCTATATTTTGTAGCAATTAAACATTGGTACGTGGAGTGTTAGAGGCCTAATAATGGGCCAAACGGATGACCCAAGGTCATTCTAGGATGGTGTGAAAACCTTGGGAACTGGCTAGTCTCCTTGTTTCCCAAGGTATCTTTATTATTTTCATGAAAACTCGGCTGAGCCCGTGTTCAGACCGACTTGGACGGTGCCCCTGCACAGTCACAGGCCTGAGTCTGAGTTTAAAAACACTGGGTCACACTAAAGAGCTCAAGAAGTATTGCCTTGATGGTAAAGAATTGCTCTGCTAACTTCAGAAACTCGGCTTTGCTAATTTGAGAAATGCACTAGCTTTTGATCCTGTGCTATGTTTGTAGTATTTAAGAAACTTGGTCTTCTTTGGAAGTGATTTAGGTTCAAACCAGTTGTCTGTTTGTTTTATTATTATTGCTGCAGCCTTGTATGTGAACCTTTTTTCAAGGATTTGAAATATTTTTTTTTTTTGTAGAAAAGATTGATGTGCATTGTTAATTATGGAAAAAAGTATTGAATCTATTGTTTGACAAAGTGAACTAGAGATGTTGAAATATGACATTTAGTTCATTTCTAAGATGGGGAAAACCTTTACACAGGAACTCAAGGAGCGAATTGAGAGGGTGAAAGAGAAGAGCAACCAAAGCGGGCTTCACACGTCTGAAAGCGAGTTCAGTGAAGAGATGGTGAACATTCGCAAAGACTTTGTTACCATTCATGGGGAGATGGTACTCCTAAAGAACTACAGCTCTCTTAACTTTATGGGTAAGACTTGAAGGAATTCCCAGTATCAGTACAAGCCAACATCTTAATTCAAATGGAGAAACGTTGTTGAACTTATCATTAACGAAGAGAAATGTCAAACTACCGTTGGTTCTAAAACCTGTTATGAAAAATTTATGCCTCTTGAGTCAAATTCCGTCTGTAAATGATTAGTGGTGACTAGCTTAATGTAATACTTTATTTTGCCACCAGGGACTGAAATTAGATTGGCCATTACAGGACAGCTCCTCGATGCCAACATTTCCCACCCCCGCCTTTTTTTTAGTTTCATTGGTGCCAACCTCAAAGGAAAGAAATGGAAGCATTCCATAAAAATCCAAGTATTCCACCCTAGACTTTGAAGTTTGAAACTCCTTGGCACTTCATTTTCTCAAAGCCAATCTGATTCTAAAACCCCATACCTATCATTTCCTTTGTATTCCTCTTTCTCTACTGACACAAACCATATTTATTTCCATTTTTATTTTTTACTTTTTATTTAATGAGATACAGTAACCATGTTCTTTCAGGCCTTGTGAAGATCCTTAAGAAGTATGATAAGAGGACGGGAACCCTGCTTCGCCTGCCCTTCACTCAAAACGTATTACACCAACCCTTCTTCACCATTGAGCCTCTCACAAGGTTGGTTCGAGAGTGTGAGGCTAATCTTGAAGATCTGTTCCCTTCTTCGGCCGAGGTCATAGAGCCAGGCCCACCCTCAAACAGATTGGATGATGCGAATGATGTAAATACAAGTGCACAGAACCCCCTATCGAATCGACCAGATGGTCAAACTGATGTAGATGCCCCTGAACAGGCACCCCTTCAGGAAGACACTTCGGATATTTACAGGAGTACATTGGCTGCTATGAGGGCAATTCAAGGATTAAGAAGGGGAAGTTCGACTTATAATCCTTTGTCTTGGACTTTGTTTTTGAGGGGGGAGGGTGATGAGGACGTGGGGACAATCACGGTGGAGAATTCAGCACCGGGGTCGATGCACGGTTCTCAAAATGAGGAGGTTGATCAAGAGGATGTTCATTCCAACAATTAGACATTTGGGTGATTTAAGTAGAGAACTTTTTATAACCGAATAATTTGGAATAATATTCATGATCCATGTGTCCATGATCATATTGATTAGTGTCCTAAATGTCTCTTATTTTCTTTTCTGGTTGGTTTTTGTTATGGTATGAAGGAATTTCTCCATTTACTATGGCTGTTGACTTGCTTTAATTTCCTAAGGCTGCCTGGCACCTATTATTTGCTAGAAGTTGTATCCATAACTACATAACTAGGTTGTTGATGCTTTTGGTTTATCTTTGTTAAGTGTGCTTTATGCTGGTGCAAGAGGAATCATCATCACCAAAACTTTCGGCTACATAAATTCATCATTTTGCTCTATTGAGGGTCATACCCGCAGAGAGATTATAAATCTACATATCTTTTCTTTCTCTATTGGATTGGGGCACTTGCTTCGTTTCTTCCTCGATTAAGCTTTGGATATGAGAGAGAGAAATGAAGCAAGTGCCCCAATCTAATAGAGAAAAAAACGAAGCATTCATAGTTGCTCCAATTCAATAGAGAAAGAAACGAAGCATTCATATAACCTCTCATGTAATTTAGATTGGTTTCATATATATATATATATATATATATATATGTTATTTTATTTTTTCTATGTTGCTTGTTGCCAGAGAATACGAATTACATGGACTCTCTCCGTTCGTTGCTTGTTGGCAAGATACGAATTACATGGACTCTCTCCGTTCGTTGCTTGTTGGCAGAATACGTATGACATGTGTTTTATGCTTTTTTTTCCTCTCGGTGTTTGGAAAAGTAGAAAATATGTTAGGAAAAGTATACGATGAGATTATTTATTTTTTATATAAGAAGGTCATAATTATTATTGACCGTTGGATTTGAAATCAGGTGGTTGAAGATGTGTCATTGTTTGGCACAAAGTCTTAAACAAAATGGTGTTGTTTGTATAGGATGTCAACTTAAAAAAATCAAAGTTTCAAATTTAGCTAAACATATGGTTCTAGTGTGAAAAACTATTATGATGGTATAAAAGTTTATTTTTATTCTTAATTACAAAATCGAAAGTTTAAAAAATGGTGTTGATTGAGCAGATCTATAAGTACATAAAATTTCTCAAAATAGGAGGTCTAGATAATGTATTACAATATATATTATTAATTTTTGAAAATGGGAGATTTAGATAATGTATTACAATATGTATTATTTTTAAAATTAATTTTTTTTTTTAAGATTTAATTTTTTTTCATATCTATATATATCGAGTAGTAGAGTTTTATGATATCGAAACAATTTTGGAAGATTTATGAAGTGCACCGTACTTCTATAATATAATATTGACATATAAATTTTTTCCTTTTATCAAAAAGTATTGCATACGTCTTGCAGGTTTGACACCTTAGTACTGACCACATATATGAATGCTGGCATTTGCAGGTTTGCATTTACAGATGCATTCCGAAGGATTTATGGCTTGCAGGAAGATTGGAACTCACTGCCGCCAATGCCGGCTGATGGGTATTCATGGTACGTCATGCACAGTTGGGCATTGCCAACAACATATTTTCTTGAGCTTGTCATGTTCTTTAGCATGTACATGTGTTATATTCACGAGCCAAATTTCGTGCATGGAGGATATATTATTTAGTATTTATTACATGCTTTTTTGTCTAATAAAGGAGAGGATCTTAATTTTTTTTTTTAATAAATAAGAACCCCACGCCAAATAAATGAGGTAAGTTAAATAGCTAGTATAAAAATGATGGAACATGATTGGTATAGCCGACCCAATAGTAATGATAGGACTTTGATGATGATGATAAAAAAATATGTAAGAAATAAACTATTGTGAGAACTATAAATAACCGCGTTAGGTTTGTACTTCTTAGGTATCCCCCCTAGAAAAAAAAACACTTTTTATACTCCACTATTAATCCAACAATATTTATTCTTTAGCTCACCTCCAAGTAAAAAAGTTATTATGTTTTTTATCAAAATACCTTTATTTTAAGCCATGTTTCTCTTTTTCTTATCATACTCCCACTTTATCTCTCTAATCTGGCTTGATATAACTTGAATAGAAAAGTAGTTCAACACAACAACATAAGCTAGTGTGGAACATAAAGATTTGTGCCAGACCATCACAGTTTTGAAGATCAAATGATGGTTTGACCCATTTTTGTGCGGAACCGGCACAATTTTGGGCATCATATCTATGGAGAAAAATTGTGGGTTAACATGTAAGTTATTTTGGTCCAAAATTTTTTTTTTTTACTTGGGAGTAGATGTAAGAATAAACAGTATTGGAGATAATAGTGTGGTCTAGAAAATCTTAAGTAAAACGTGCCTAGAAAATACAATGTAGGGGATACCTATAATTTTTCCTAAAGTATTTAACATTTTACTCATATTTTTTATTTAATTTTAAAATACCTATAAAAAAATACACATGACTATCAGTGGAACAGTTGAAGGAAGATAAACTATTAAGCTGTTACAAAGTTAAGTGCAGCTAGATAAAATTTTCTTAGGGTTTGTTTGGGTACATGGATTTTAAAGCATGGATTCGTAATATTTTGGATATTGTCAAAATCTACCGTTTGGATTACTTAATGACTAGGATACTCAAAATTAGAGAAATCAAAATCATGGAAATAAGATCTACTGTTCCATGACTTTATTTCCACACCAAAATCTGTTTTTTTGCATTTCCAAGGCCCATGGATTCACTCATAGGCTCCTTCAACCCGAAACACAGGAACCATTTAGTAGATATGAATTTTTTTTAAAAAAAAGGTACCTAAATTTTTTTAAAGAGAGAAACTATCTCAAAGTTTTCAAAGAGAAAAGTTATCTCAAATTTTAACTTTTAGTGAGATAGAGTATGAATTTAGAGAAAGAAAGTATGTTAAAATTTTAGAGAGAGAAAATACCAAATTTTAATTTTTAGTGAGATAAAGTATGTTAATTTAGAGAGAAAAAGTATGTTGAAATTTTAGAGAGAGAAAGTACCAAATTTGTATAGATATGAACTATCTCAAATTTTAAATAGAAAAACTATCTCAAATTTTAACTTTTAGAGAGATAAGGTAAATTAAAATTATATAGAGAGAAAGTATGTTAAAATTTTAGAGATAAAAAGTATCAATTTTTTTTGGAGAGATAAACTATCTCAAAATTTTAGAGAGAGAAACTATCTCAAATTTTAAATTTTAGAGATAAACTATTTTAGAGAGAGAAAGTACATGCAATTTTTTAGAGAGATATACTATTTTAAAATTTTTAGAGAAATAAATAATATCATATTTTAATTTTTAGAGAAATAAACTATATCAAATTTTAGATAGAGTACCTAAAAAGTTTTAGAGACAGAAACTATCTCAAAAAAATTTAGAGAGATAAACTATATCAAGCCTTAAGTTTTAGAGAAATAAATTATTCTTAAAATTATAGAGAAATAAAGTATTCTTAAAATTTTAGAGAGAAATTATTCTAAATTTTAAAAAGAGAAACTACCAAAAAAATTAGAGAGAGAAACTATCTCGAATTTTGAGTTTTAGAGAGAAATTATCTCGAATTTTGAATTTTAGAGAGAGAAAACATATTAAAATTTTACATATAGAAATTTATGAAATTTTAGAGAGAGAAACTATCTAAATAAATTTAGAGATAGAAACTATTTCAAAATTTTTGGAGAGAGAAACTATTGTAAAATTTATGTTTTAGAGAGAGAGTATCTTAAAATTTTAGAATGAAACTATTTACATTAAATTTTTAGAGAGATAAACTATCCTAAAAAAATTTAAAGAGAGAATCTATATCAAATTTTAAGTTTTAGATAGAGAAAGTATCTCAAATTTTAAACTTTAAAGAGAGAAAATATATTAAATTTTAGAGAGACTACACTATTTCAAAATTTTAGAGAGAAAGCATCTTAAAATTTAAGAGAATAATTATAACAAATTTTAGAGAGAGAAAGTTCATAAAAATTTTAGAAAAAGAAACTATCACAAATTTTTTAGAGAAAGTTTAGAAAGAGAAAGTATCTTAAAATTTGAGAGAAAAACTATATCATATTTTAAAGAGAAAAACTACTTAAAATTGTTTAGAGAGAGAAACTATATCAAAATTATTGAAGAGGGGAACTATCTCAAGTTTTAGGTTTTAAAGAGAGTATATTACAATTTTAGTAAGAGAAACTATATTCAAATTTAGAGAGAGTAAAGCACCTAAAAATTTTGGAGAGAGAAATTGTCTCAAAATTTTTAGATAGACAATTTCAAATTTTAAATTTTGGATAGAAAGTATATTAAATTTTAGAAAGAGAACCCATATCAAATTTCAGAGAGAGAAATTATCTCAAAATTTTTAACCATCCCAAATTTTGAGTTTTAGAGAGAAAAAGTATATAATAATTTTAAAGAAAAAAGTTTTATCAAGTTTTGTTACCAAACAATGGATATGAAAATGATTGCAAGGAATCCAAGAATTTTATATAGTTTATCCAAACAAGGGATTTGAGAAATCCATGATAAAATCCGTGATATTGAAAATCCATATATTTTTTTAGATTTCAAATATCTTATATTTCTAATTTCCTCCTATCCAAACGGGCCCTTATATAAAACAACCTACATGCCCCAAGCTCTCAATTTTTATGAAACTTTTTTCAAGTACGGAAGAGATGTAAAACAAATATATGGAAATTGGATGGTCTTTTTCTATGTGGGTGGTTTGGATGAGGTTCCAACCTTGAACAATCATATTGAGGTGCACCTCCAAACTTTGTCATGAGATGCAATTTTGGTGTCGAAAATTCTTATGATGATGCAATAGTCTATTTTTTTATATAAGATTTTGAACTTCAAAAATAGTTCAAATCAAACTTATCTATAAAACATAAGGTAATTTTGAAAATAGAGAGTTCAAATAATATGTTACAAGATCTATTAATTTTAAGACTTAAAATCTATTTTTTTCCAACATTAAATCAACTTTTTCGACAAATTTTTGAGGTCTACATTAATTCTACATTTGAAGGTATCAAACTCATATAAACTTTTTTCCTTTTCCCATTTCACTAATTGCCTGGTGCTATTGGGGGAGAGAATTTTAGAGAGAAAATAACACAGTTCACATGGATATGTTTGAAACTAAAGATAGGAGAACATTACAGCAACCAAGTAGCTAATTTTAAAAGTCTAAAGAATTTTTTTTTATAATTCATAAAATAAACAAGGGTAAAAGAATAATTTTTCTGTCTATAAAGAAACAAGCCTTATGCTTCGCTTCAAATGCATAGCTAACTTTAAAAATCAAGGTTTTTTTTTTTTTTCTGGTAATTTATAAAAAAAGTTTTCTTGTAATTTAGATAGGGTTGCTATTTGTATAGAGCAAAGGTTCTTAACAATCAAAGTAAAGCATACCTTCAAATAGTATTGAAAAATGTGGTTTTAATGCTGAAAATCTTTGCGATAGCTTTAAATGTATTTTAATATTTAATTATGAAATTTAAAGCTTAAAAAATAGTATAAATTGAGCAAAGCTATCAAAACTTAAAAATCTTGAAAATTAACGGTTCAAAAATTCCTTACAAGATGAATTATTTTCAAAACTTGAAATTCATTTTTTTTTCTATGTCCAAGCATCTTGATGTCGAGATGATCAATTTAAAGATATATACGCATCAAAACAAACTCTTCTAGTGAAATTTTTGTGGTGGATCTAGTTTGATTGTTTAGAGCCTCGGCTCTATATAAACTTTTTCCTTTATGTATAAAATGAACGAGGGTAATATAATAATTTTCTGATTTTCTCTGTATAAAAAACAAAGGCCTTATGCTTCGCTTCATCCCACCGCTCACCGTTTCTTTAAACAGCGGCTTTCACTATTCGACGTGATCCTCTCTCTTCGCTAAGCCCTGATGTTCACCTCCTCGTTTTCTTTTCGCCGGAACTTCACCGGAACTTCGCCGGAGTTTGTAACCATAGCTGGAATATTCTCTCGTTTCACTGTTCTATCTTTTTTTCTTTTTTTTGTGAGATTTTAGTTTTTTTGCTGGAAGTTAATTGGAGATCCGCTTGGTTTCGTTGATTTCCACCGTGATTATTCCCAGGTCAGTCTCTTATTCTTCTGTTTTTCGGAATTTTTTGTAATTAGGAAGTTTCCGTGCTAGGGTTTGAAAGGTTCCTGTTAATTAGACTGCATTTGCGATTATTAGATGGCTTCATTTTTTGTTGTCTTAAATGTTAGAGTGATTCTGCACAGTTATTGTTTTTGTTTTTTTTTTTTTCCCAGTCGTTTTTCAGAGGGATTTTTCCTGGTGTTTGATAACTAATTTGGACAATTATATGTATGTCTTCAAGGTGAATTGCTGGTAAAAATTAGAAGAAAAAAAACATAAGAATAATTATTTTGAAATCTATATGTGTTCCTATGGAGTATTTCGATCAGGAGTTTCATTGATGACGTGATCTTCATTTGATGTCATGTATATTTAAAAAAATTTGTCCTTACTGGGAGTTTATTTGGCTGGTGTTGGAAATGTGGCCTTTCAGACCCTTTTCTCCCGAAAAACCCATTGTCACTCGAGAGAAAACCCCATGGTATGTTTGGAATTGGATTGCTGGTAAGAATTTGTTTTTATATTATAGATATACAAAGTTTATTTAAGTTATAAATATCTTTTATCAAATTGTGGGAATGCTTGGATGAGATCCTATTATGTGAGTCATAGTGGACTAATGACAGTTTTAGCTCATTTGACAACTTGTTAATCCTAATTAGCTCCACTTAAGGGAATTAAGGCAAGAGTTGTACTTGGATCTCAACTCCAATAGACCATAAATGTGAGAGTTACAAACTCCTATAGACCATAAATGTGAGAGTTACAAAATAAATGTGTTCTCTATAAAAGGTGGTTAACCCCTCTAGAAAAGATAAGAAAAAGTATAGAAAAATAGAGATGGAAGGTGAATGAGATTCATCAAAGATGACTCTCAAGGTTGCCTGTCACCGCATGGCTTGGTCTATAGGATTTGGTATGGAACCTCAAGCCTCTCGTGTGATTTAAGGACAGATCTGAGTAATTTTTTTTTTCAATTTTATTTATTTATTATTATTTTTATTGGAGCTAACAATGGTATCAGAGCGAGGTTAGAAAAGTTGCCGAAAGAAAGAGAAATAGAGGCAACTGAGTTTGGTTCTTGAAAGGCATTTTGCCCCACAGAGATGTGCATGATAATATTAACCACAACATGCTATTTTGCGAAACATTCAATATTGTTTTCATCATCTAGAAGTCATTTGACTTTTGATCGCAAAAGATCTCTTCCTTTTACAGTAGCATAAGGGAATTAGAGTGGCTTCCCTTCTCCCATTTTTTTTTTTTTAGAATAAGGGAGTTAGAGTGGGCTTTGCTTCTCCCATTTACCTTCTCCCATTATTCTGCAAGGTCGAGGTCTAATATTTCATCGAGTACTGAGACTTTTTTTGCAAGGTCGAGGTCTTATATTTCATTAAGAGGACTGAGGCTGTGAGAGAGAGAATGTTCCTGGGGTTAGTTAGATTGATGCCAACCCTGAGTTTTGTAGAAGTTGAAGTTTCCTTTGAGCCCTCTATGAGCTTGAGCCTGCCCATTGATGCCAACCCTGAGTTTTGCAGAAGTTGAAGTTTCCTTTGAGCCCTCTATTAGCTTGAGCCTGACCATTGGTGCAGTGATTATTGCCTCTTGCAACCACTGTTAACCGTGAAATAGAACCTAAAAGCCCCACGTTCACTATCTCCTGAATAGTACCTGGTTCCACTACTACACCTGATCTTCTCTCTCTAAAACGATCAAAATCTTTGCTAGCCCTTAGGATCAGCAGACTTCATGCTTCTCCATAAAGAGAAGCAACATGAGGACGCTAGAGAGAAAGTGAACTTAAAATGGCTATTTTGCCTCCCGATGTAACATGATTTTTTTTATGGAGTTTTGTCTATGAGGATGGGAGATGTCCGTAGCTGCAATGTCCAAAAATGTCCGTAGCTGCAATGTCCAAAAAAAAAAGAGGTAAATAAAAGGAACTCCCTTGAGTTTGCTTTAAAGACCACAACTAATATTAGGTAGTTTTTCAAAATAATTGGTAAGCTCCAATTAGAAAAGTATTTTTTTTTGGTAAGTTCTTTATTGCCTTAAATTAGAAATTTTGTTCACATTGTATTTTATCTAAATAGCATGAAATCAATGCACTTTGAATATGAAAAGTATTTGGAAGGTTTAAATTACAAAGTTTTTATGGTAAGGTCTTTATTGCCTTAAATTAGAAATTTGTTCTCATTCTATTTAGATATCTAAATAGCATGAAATCAATGCACTTTGAATATGAAAAGTATTTGGAAGGTTTTAATTACAAGGATTTTATGGTAAATTTTTTATTGCCTTAAATTAGAAATTTGTTCACATTCTATTTTATCTGAATAGCATGAAACCAATGCAAATCAGTGCGTGGTCCTATTTCAAAGCGTAAGTCTCTCTCTTTTTCAAAAGTGAAGTTTTTCTACCTAAAGATAAGTAAGTCTCTCTCTTCAATGAACACGAAGGACACATTCATTAGCTTGTCATTTACACCATGGGCTATGAACCACATGAACATCATAATCCCCATGTCCATGACTATAGACATCATCAAAAAGTTGCGTTGATGTTAATACTGTAAGACATTATTTTATATTTTAGCTAAACCTCTTAGTGCACGGAAGGCAGCTTCCGTAGTTTTAGGCAAGGCTCAATATTCATTCATCTAATCATTTGTATGAAAACCTATGGAGAGGAAAAGAGAGATACACTCTCTCATTTTCCATGTGCGAAAGAGAAATTTGGTGTTCACTATTTACTTTTTTATTTCTAATATAGCCCTCTAGCAATTATGCATATTATGACAAGACAACTATTTATGTAAAGAAATACTTGATTTGAAATATTGCATGGTGATCAATGCTTATGAATATTCCAAGTTCAACAATATATGTATATTTGCGATAATATTCTTTTTCCTCTCTTATTTTTTTACAAGATTATGCATTACAACATCCTTGGAAAGTGTAAGCCTATTGGCCATGTTGTGTAAGAACATTTTGTTTGAATTAATAATGTTGTTCATTATTTTTAACCTAGTTGTGACTTATTTTTATTTATTTTGCTTACTAGTCTTCCTTATATTTAGAAAACTAAATTTGTACCCATGAGGATGTGATGCTAAGCTATTATTTTTCATTGAGATGTAGTAATCATTGGCACCTTATAGTGCTATGTGTATATCCACATAACATTAAAAGTATTTAATGATGTATCATGTTAGATTGAATTATCATATTGTTGATAGCTATTCATTGGATAGTGGGAGTAAATCTATTTACCAAATTAGACTTGAATTTGTTATCTCAATGGTGATCAATGCTCATTGAATTGCTCATTCAATGAGCATTCGCAATGCCTTGAAGAGGACTGGAACCTTCACCACCTAAAGCTTTGTCAAATTGTTATTGTTCTTATTATTTTGACCTATGATCCGAATCTGTGCTTTGGACTTAAAGACTAGTGGTGGATGTCATGTTTGAGAAACATGCGGAAGCAATGGGCCTTTTTTTTCTCTTGGCTAAAAACGATGTAAATAAAATCCAACGTGTTGGTGAATAATTGGTAAGGTATATGAGAAATTCCATGCAGATAGCATGAGGCAATGCCATATACAAAACCATTGAGGCCAAAAAATCCAAATGTGGTGTATGACCACTTTGGCAGGGTATATGTGAAATCCCATGCAAGTAGTGTGAGGCAATACCATATACAAGGTTGTTGAGATCAGGAAATCGAAATGTGGTGTATGACCATATTGGCAAGGTATATGTATGCAAGTAGCATTAGGCAATGCCATATACAAGGTTGGTGAGGCTAGAAAATCCAAGTGTGGTGTATGACCATTCTGGCAGGGTATATGTGAAATCTCATGCAAGTAGTGTGAGGCAATGCCATATACAAGGTTGTTGAGGCCAGAAAATCCAAGTGTGATGTATGACCATTTTGGCGGGGTATATATAAAATCTCATACAAGTAGCATGAGGCAATGCCATATACAAGGTTGTTTGACCACATTTGCAGGGTATATGTGAAATCCCATACAAGTAGCGTGAGACAATGCTATATACAAGGTTATTGAGGCCGGGAAATCTAAGTGTGATGTATGACCACATTGGCAGGGTATATGTGAAATCCCATGCAAGTTGCAAGGGGCAATGCCATATATATGGCTATGGAGGCCAGGAAATTTAAGTGTGGTGTTTAACTACACTGGCTGGCTATATGAAAATCCCATGTGGAAAGCATGAGGCAATACCATGTACAAGATGTTAAAGGGCCTTCAGACCAGTGGAAGTTGTTGGAAATGTGGCCTATCAAGCTCTTTTCTCCTGGAAATTTATTTATTTTAATAATGGTACAAAAGCCATATTGCAGTATATATGAAATCCCATGTGGTTCACATGAGGCAATGCCATATATTTGGATCTATTTTTTAGCTTTAATAGAATGTTGCACTGGAGGGAAAACCCAGTGGTGTGCTTGGAATTGGATTTCTTGTAAGAATTTGTTTAATATTATAGATATACAAAGTTTATTTAATTTATAAATATATTTTATCAAATTGTGAAAATGCTTGGATGACATCCTATTATGCGAGTCATTAGTGGACTAATGACAGGTTTAACTCATTACATAGGATTAACAATTTGGTGACAACTTGTTAACCCTAATTAGCTGATTTAAAGGGAATTAAGGCAAGAGTTACACTTGGATCTCGACTCCTATAGACCATGAATGTGAGAGTTATAAAATAAATGTGTACTCTATAAAAAGAGGTTAATCCCTCTAGAAAAGATAGAAAAAAGTATAGAAAAATAGAGATGGAAGGTGAATGAGATTTACTAAAGATGACTCTTAAGGTTGCCTGTCACCGCATGGCTTGGTCTATAGGATTTGGTATGGAACCTCAAGTCCCTCGTGTGATTTAAGGACAGATCCGAGTAAGATTTTTTTTTTCAAATTTATTTATTTATTATTATTATTGGGACTAACAGCTACATATTGGAAATGTCACATTTCCTGCGATTATGTTGGTGTTTTATCTAGTTTTGGTAGCTAAAGATGTTTTGAACAGTGAAAAGAAAGGTAATTGTCAGAAGAAAGAAAAAAAAAAAAGATGTAATAAAAAAATTATAATGACCGTTCTCAGTTCCTCCTTTTGAACTTCGTTTTGTCCCATAGGTTCTGTTGTTTGTGCTAATCTTTGCATGCCAAGGTTCTTCTAAGATTCAGGACACGTTTGTGTCAAGTGTAAGAATTCTTTGAGAAAGAATTCTTTGAGAAAGATTTTTCCTGCTGGACTACTGCTTTCCCATATTATTTCACTGTTATGGAAAGCTCTCTTTGGGGTCGAACTCTCTCAGGGCCTCCAGAAAGTGTTCTGGTGAGGCAAACTTGACCCAAGTGATTTTGATGCTCTAGGACTAGTGCCTGTAGTTATGACTTCAAGCCCCAAAGGTAGGTGACACACCACGGCATCCATTTCTTTCATATGGTTAATGCATGGTTTAGAAGACCTCTATTTCCATGAGTTCTTATTAGTTTTAGGTTTCTTATATCAAACATACATTGTGGGCCCATAGCAAGTACAACAGAAGTATCATAGACAATCTTCAACTGTATATGCCAGTGTAGGAAAGCTTGGGCTAGTCCACTCGGACTTGCCTGAGTCGATCAGGTCCGGCCCAGCACCCATCCCGGAACTAAACATATGCGAACCAATTGAGGTTGGTCGGTTCCCAATATTTAATTATTGTTTTGTTCAGACTTGGCTGAGTCTGGCAGACCTGGCTGGGGGTCAAGACCCTAGGGAGTCTCAAATCAAATCCTTGTTTTCTTACCCTTGTATACGTACCCTTGTATACGCTTTTTGCTTGAATTGTACATCTTGAGGCAGGTCATCATTTTCAGTTGAATTATTATGAACATTATAGAACTTAAGTTTTGAGCACTACTTTAATGTTACTGCTTGCTCTCAATGCACATGAGACAATATCCTATTCTGGATTGAACTCTGTTTTTGACAGATGGATTCGTATTAGGTTTTGTGTTGTGCAATTGTGGGCTTCAACTGATTAAAGCTTGTTCACTCTGTAATATACTTCTTATTTAAGTTCATAATCTGAATAGAGCTTGTTATCTGAGCTGTTTAGACTTCGCTTTATATTTTTATTCGCTTTTGATCCTGAAAATCATTTCTTTACGCTATATTAATGGAGAAACATTAGTGGAAGATAATCTATGAGACTCCTCACTTGTCTGTGCATTCGTGAGCAAATGTTATAGTGCATTTTCTGTTTGCTGTTAAAACATAAGAATTGTGCGGAATTCCCTAAATTTTTCCTCATTATTTTGTCTATGATGCATTGTTCAATTATTTCAGTTCTTGTAAAATTCATTTTATCTTTTGTTAAGCTTATTTGATCGTTTTTTTGTTGGTCAAATTCAAAACTAAGAGTTATCAAGTGCATATTTTTGTTTCTTATCATCAATTTTTCTGCTGCTACTTGTAGTTGATTTTCCAAAATCGTGTATCTTGTAGATAATGGCTGATGATGATAAGAAGGACATTGTTGATAGCAACTCAGTGTCAGTCAAAGGAGAAAAGGATAGTAAAGTAGTTTCTCAACCGCGCAAAGGTTTTCTTTCTCGAATATGGAATGGAATTTTCAGAAGACGTAGCGATGACTTTGAAAAGAAATTGCAATACCTCTCTAAGGAGGAGGCGTCTGTTCATGCACGGACAAAGAAGAGAGCTGAGACTTGGCGAAAGATGGCAAGAAATCTTATAGTTTACTCTGTGGTTTTGGAGGTGAGGTTTTCCTCACATCTATACCTGCACATTGTTCCAGTGCTATGACTGAGCTTGAGTTGAAACTTGACTTGCTGTAAATTTAGATTAAAACTTGTAGTTTCTTAGGAAGCCAGAAACTTTATTGCCTATGCATTCTGAAGATTTTGTTAGGAGGTTCTCAACATTGTCGTTTTATTGTGCTTCTGGTACTTTTGATGCAATCACTTTCGCAACCTAGCATAGTTTTTCAATTGCCATGCGCTCAGTATTTGATGTTAATTCTAAATGTCATAAGTGTGTTCATTCTGCTTTTCCTTTACATTCATAAATATGATTGGTTTGACATACTTTATTCATGGATTAGTAAATATGCAGTATTAATGAGTGCATTTGTGATTTCCTGACCTACTGATTGGAGAGGGTTTTGTTACTACTTACGATTATTACATCGTAGAAGCTCTTAAAACTCTAGCTTGCCAAGTCCCATCTATTTTCAAAACTTCATTGCGAGAATGTGCTTCTTATTTAAGTTAAAATGATATTTTTGAGGTCTAACGTCTGCTTCTTACCGGTTGATCTTTATGACATAGTTTGCATAGTCTCCCTCTTCAACATTTGAAAGGCCAAATGGACACCACACGCACGTGTACGTGTTGCTGCAATTGTTATCCATCAATCATGTACCTGCGTGTGAGGGAGGGACGGAGCAAAACATTTTTGAATACTCAAAAGTGCAATATTGTTGCATGTGTTCCTACAGTCTTTGTAATTGCCAAGTTAGTGGTGTACTTTATCATAATAGTCATGTTTCCTAGATTTATTATGAAATATGCCAGCTATCATCACATATTCTTTCTGGAATGCTTGTCGATTTCTACTCATCTGGAATTCTGGCAATTATTCTGTAGATTTAAATATTTTATCTCCCCTGTATACGAGGGTTTTATTAGTTCTTTTTCTATTTTTGTAGCCTTTTATATAATAGAGTTTGTGTTTATTAGGGTCTATATGAGAATTTTAGCCCACATCCTGGTTGTGGTAGAATGAAGTATGATTCTTATTGATTGATAATTTTCAGGCCGTGGCAGTGGCCTATGCCATTATGATGACAAGAACACCAGATTTGACTTGGAATATGCGAGCACTCAGAGTACTGCCCGTTTTTGTTGTTCCCGGTGTATCTTCTGTTATCTACTCAACAATCGCAAGCTTCATAAGGATGCGTAAATATCACTAACTTCACTTCCAGCTACACTAGGATGCAATTGTGTGATATCAAAAATTCTCACTTCATCTACATAAGGATGAGTAAATTCACAATGCGCAAGTTGGATAGTCTTTAATTAATTTTTTATTAAACTGAAGTATATTATTGGATCAGGAACTTTATGTCGTAGGTCTAACAATAATTGCCTTTTTTAGTAAAGTTACAGTTGATTGCTAGTGTGCATGCTTGAGAATTGCTTCTGAATCTCATGAAGATTTAGACTTTGTATATTTGTCTTGCAAGTCCTTATGAGCACCAAAGCTGCTCATCTGAAACTGTGTTTCTTGAATAACATGAAACAGACTTCGACTTTTATAACTTGCTTATGGTCCACATGAAAGCATTACATTATTTATTGGATTAACTTCGAGTGCCATGGGATTTATTTCTGTGAGTCTGCAATTCTTTATGGTTTTCTTACATATTCATTTTCTTAACCATGCTGTGAAGTCATAGATTCTAACAAGTATTATGTCCATGTCAGTTGTTTAAGTTAAAGGGCATGATTGGAGATTCTGTTTGTTTATCAACCTTTTACCTTACCAGGTACTGACATCCTAAAAACTTTACATTCATACTGAAATCATCCGAGTGACCTTTCTACAAATATATGCAGTGTTGTTGTACCATGGAAGCATTGTGCTACCCATCTTCTACATTAGAAAACACCATCAATGATGAACTCATTAAAAAAAAGACATATATCTAGTTTTTAAAGAAAGACTAGAAAAGAAGCTATCCTTTTAGAGTGATTTGCATGAGCGGAATGTGATTATTCATGTTTCTATTCATAACTGTTTTTTAGTTTCCTGGGTTGATTGTAGAATTTTACCCACAGATTAATTCATCATCATCGAAGTCTTATCCCAACAATTTGGATTCAGCTACTTGAATCCTGTTTGTCACTTCGCTCTATCAAGGGTCATACCCTTAGTCAAACTACCCACAGATAAATTATGAAAGTGAAATATTTGAAATTTAACTGCAGGTGAACGTAAGGACCAGAAGACACTCGAAAGGTTGCGTGCTGAACGGAAAGAAAAGATTGATGAGCTGAAAGAGAGGACTAATTATTACAGGACACAACAACTTATTCAGGTGGCAGTCTTGCTTTCTGTGAATTATATACATAGGCAGCAGCAAACTTGGTTTTAAATTTTGTTTTTGTTGGTCTTTTTAATGTAGTTATTAACTATGAGGAATAAAAGCCGAAAAATATGATATCTTAGGGAGTGGTGGGTCGTTCTGCAACTTGACACCATCCATTTGTATTATCCAACTTGGCAAGCTCATCAGGTTGCTGAGCTATCAAAGTTTCAAGGAAGCTCTCATTTGAGGAACTCAGTAAATTAAGGTCCTTCTGTGTCCACTTTTCAATCTCTCCAGACCGCCAATGCATTGAGACAATTTGTAGAAGCTCCTTTGTCATGTATTGCCAAATTCCTGGTGATGCAGACTTCTACTCTTAATGCTTGTTGTGGGAACATCTTTTGTTGCAAAGCTCATGAGTGCGTGACAGATGAAGCTCTTAGGTACTTAAATATGAATGAGTAAAAGAGAAACTGAGAAAAAAAGGTAAATCAATCATGATTTAACTGTAAAAGATAGTTGGATACTGCAACATAACCAGAATGCATTCAAGTTACATACATGAATAATGAAAAAAAGAAAAAATACACCAAACAAAATAAGGAAGAAAAATATGAGAAGGAACAAACAAGAAAGGAATTAAAATCATCATAGGAAAAAGTAAAGAAAAGTGGACATTTGGAATGGCAAAAAAGAGGGGGGTGAGAGAGACAGCACTTTGAGATTTTTATTCTTGTGAGTACCACGTGGCCTCACGTCTACTTTGTCGTGCTTTTGCATTACTTGTAAAACTATCTTTTCACCATTTATGCATCAACCCTGTCAATTGTAGAGATATGATCTCGATCCTGCAGCAAAAGCGGCAGCTGCAAGTGTATTGGCATCTAAACTGGGAGCTGATTCTGGCATCAAAGTATTTGTTGATGATACGAATATCAACACATCGACTGTTCAAAGCAGTGGAGCTGAGGTTGTGCGCTCTGATGGCTTAAGAAAGAGAAGGCCAACTCATGCAAGAAACAACAGCACAGGTAGTGTTTTGGCCCATCACCAGTTTCATGAGGAATTTAATCCGCAGGATCCAGGACTTGGGGCTCCCCAGGAGGAGGTTGCTGAAGAAAATCCGACAATTGAGATGGGAAATCATCTGAAACGGACTGCTGTTGATGGGGGTTGGATTGCTCGGATTGCTGCCATGCTTGTTGGAGAGGATCCTACACAGTGTTATGCTCTCATATGTAGCAACTGCCATATGCACAATGGTAAGTGCTATGCTAACTTTTGAGAAGTCCTATTTTTTTTTTCATTGCTTGGGTAGTCCTTTTTTAATGAGATTTTCACTACTTAGATTTCTGACTAGATCTTTAGCTATGTTTGTTCATGATATGTTCCGCATTTTTGTTTTGGCTTTTTATTTTGAACTGTGTGTTCTAGGGTTTAGTGAGAAATGAACTGTTCAAGTACCTAGGATTAGAGCATTTTTGGAAATATTTTTTTGTGCTTGCTTCTCAAAGAGCATTGCACTAGTTGATTTCTTAGACAAATGTGGGTTATATTTATTCTACATATATTAGGCTACAGTTAAAGGTAGGTACGTAGCATTCTACTAGAGTAGGGCCGTATAGAGGGAGTGACTTAGGGTAGGGGTAGCTATTGAGGAGGGTCTTACTAAGTGGGAGTTCACTGACTTCTAGTTCAATTCAATCGCTTTCTTCCCATATTGCTGCCATTGGAAATTTCATCAGAAAATTATGATAGTGAATCTAATTGAAAAAGGAAATCCTCCTTGTAACCAAAGCCTTATTCTCATCCCAACTTGGTAAACATTCTCGATGCATATGCACTTATATAGAGATTCTCTCCTGCTTTGAAGATTATTATCTTCATTGGAAGCATAATCCTTAAACCTCAAATTTTAGGGATTTTGGCTTTTTAGGAATAGATCTTTTTATGTGTTTTACCATCTTGAGTCGTACAATATAGAAACGTGTGGAGTATGTGCCTCGTGCAAGTTCAGATATTTCTTTATGGAGCTTGTGCATGGGTGTATATCCAGGGATGTTTCCTCAATTTGCAATAAATTCTTGAAACCTGTTCATTGTTCTACTATAATGACGTGCACACCCACGATAACACGAACACAGGCACATGCGGGAGCGAGAGATTTTGGATATTTGGATATCGCCAATCTTGACTCTCAATTGTTTGAATTGATAACAGCCTCTTTTCTGTCAGTGTGATATTTGATTTTTCTATTTCTGCGATTAACAGAGAAAATGGGATGTCTGAGAGAGAGAGAGAGAGAGAGAGAGAGAGAGAGAGAGAGTAGTAGTTAGTACTATATAGTATACTACTACTTACTTATTACTTACTACTAATTAGTAGTACGTACTTAGTTGTACGTACTAATTACTAAGTAAAGTAAAGT